GATATATGGGATACTAACATCGCCTACTTATATTTATAAAACCTATTAATTTTAAGTTTTTTATTTAAATGAATTAATTGGAGATAAATAGAGAATATAAACTGTTAATTTTTTGAAGGTGCTAATGGTGCAGGAAAATCTACATTATTAATGATCTTGGCTGGTAAAAGAATGGTAAGAAGTAAAGTTCTTGTACTTGGGAGAGATTCATTTAATGATCCAGTTCCAGTAAGTAGTATTTATTATTTTTTAAAAAAAATTTTTTAAAAGAATAACTTAAACAACATATCTTATACAGGGGATTAGATATTTAGGAACAGAGTGGGCAAATAATCCAACAGTAAAAGGTGATGTAATGGTATCAACATTATTATCAAATATGAATGGTGACAAATATCCTGAAAGAAGAGATGAATTAGTTGGAATTATGGATATTAATCCTAAATGGCGTATGCATCAATTATCAGATGGACAACGTCGTAGAGTGCAATTAGTGTTGGGGTTGATTGAACCTTGGAATATTTTATTAATGGATGAAGTGACTGTTGATCTTGATGTTTTGGTTAGATCTGATTTGTTAAGATTTTTAAGAAAGGAATCAGAAACTAGAAAAGCTACTATTGTAAGTTGAAATTTTTTTTAAAAAAAAAATTGGGAAAAAATATTTATTTAAATTTAAAGGAAATTTAAATTTTTAGATTTATGCAACTCATATTTTTGATGGTAAATAATCTTAAGTACACATATGCTTATATATATACACACTTGCATATCCTCATGATTTTTTTATTTTATTTAGGGTTGGGTGATTGGCCATCTCATATAGCTCATATGAAAGATGGAGCAATTATAACATTTCGTGATTTTTATCAAAATTTTCCTGAACTTGATAATACAATAAATCAACAACTTGAATTAAGATTATTGAATGATACTAGTAGTAGTAGTAGCAGTAGTAGCAGCAGCAGTAATACAACTATCAACAACAATAATAACAATTACTCAGATAAAAAATTATCACCTGGAATCATATCACTCCTTCGTAGAAATATGGTTTCACCATTGTTAAAAGTTGTAGAACAATGGTTAAGAGAAGATTTTTTAGAGTTGAAGAAAAGACGTGAATTAGAAAAACAAAAAATAGAAAATGAAAGAGATAAAGTTTTATTAGGTGAAGAAAATCCAAAAACAAAATGGGATAGATTAAGCGAAGATGCTAATACTCATGGTGATAAATATTATAATTACTGGAATAAAAATTAGAAACATTATTTTTAAATAATTAACAGTTAATGTTAAATTGCAAAAAAAAAAATTAAAATTACGAATAATCAATTCTATGTTATTACAATAAACCTTAGATGTTTTGAAATGTCTCCAAAAGCAGCAATGTGATAATAATAATAATAATATTTATTAAGGTGTATTATATGCAAGAAAAAAATTTTTTTTCCAGATCAAAAATTCTCGTG